TCATGTAATGGTAATGATGTGTCATAGCTTGCCAACTAAGGGTAATTTAAACAATGAACAATGGTGAGCATTTTAAAAGACAACGTTAATCTATTCATGTCGGTTTAGGTCAGTTTTCACGAAAATTTTGTGCAGCTGCTGTTAGCTGTTAGAAATTCAACAACATTGATTCAGGAACCAGGAGACTGGTGTTCTTCAGACTCTGATGTTTATTATGGGCTTGAGGAATCTTCAGGTTAGCTTATTACTAAGTTATATGTAGGACAAATTGGGAATGAGAGGTGGAAAGGGAGACTGGAGATAAAGAGGGAAAAGGCCTGATGCTGCTTATGTCTGGGAGTACTGCTACCTCTGACCTTGAAGTATTCAATCACCATGACACGTTCTACCAAAACGTAAGAAATGAGATATACAGCATCTTCAGAAACAGCCTAGGCATAACTCGTCAATGCATAATATGAAATACATTACATGAATGGACATAAACATTAGCAAATGATCATAGAATTAAAGGCAAATATTTTGAAGCAAATCATTAAAGGCAAAAATTTCCTTCATAGCCTTATGAACAGTACCCTTAAGAAAATGCAAAGTGTTTAAGTGCACAACAATGGAAAAAAATTTCTATAAAGTCATAGTTCTTTGCCTTTAAATAACTCAGCATCTTTTTCAGGTAAACAAAATTTCTTTCACATCATTATTCCTGTGGCCGCTGTGCTCGGAACCATCATTGTATTTGGATTGGCATGTTTCTTCGTGACCAAGAGATACAAGTGAGTCTGAATGAAGCTGAAGATTCTGTAGTTGTTAAGATATGCGTAATGTATTTTTGCATGTTGCTGTAATTATATATTTAATATATTAATGTTGCATTACTTGTATTTATGCAAATCATGCATCTTAAGGTAATATCAGCTAGGCATTCATTCATTCATCTTTAGTAATTGATTTATCCTGGTCAGAGATAAGGCGGATCTAGAGCTGGTCTGGGGAACACTGGGTGTGAGGAGGGAATACACCCTGGATAGGACACCAGTCCATCACATGCCATACACACTCACACGCACACACACACACACACACACACACTTATTCATACCTTGTCCTGGTCGCTGTAATACTTTGTGGACTTATTTCTTCTTCTTTTACATCACCATTAGGAAACAGATCCAAGAGCTTCAATCTAGAAATCCAAATGGGTAAGTAATTAATAATATTACCATTAGGCCATTGTGTTATTTTTAATAATTTGGTGGCTTGGCTAAGCAAATAATTAAGCAGGTAATAGTTTTTATTGTGTGTGATTTCATTGCTACTCTGGCACTGATGATGACGATGGCTCTGGTGTAAAAGGACAAATTCATTTTCACTAAAAGAGATTTTCAGTAAATGAGATTAGCAGTAAATATGTTCATAACAGATTAGCTAACACCTGGATTGGGATACTGTACAATTAGGAACAATAGTATTTGCATTTATTTCCAAAAAAAATAAGGAATATACAATTGGACATGCCCTTGCAGAAAACTCTATTCTCTCTAAACCTGACCCAAGTGTCTTAAATTATGGAGAAGTAAGCAAGATATGACATACAGAGTCCTACAGTCTAATTTGGATTAATGAAGGGGAAGATTGTGGTTTTCTCCTTTTCTATATGCTGCTGCTGAAAATACTCACATGCTTTTTCATTTCCTCTCATGTCATGTTCACACCTATGCACTATGCAGAACTTGTATAAGTTTGTCTGCTAAAAGTTTATGGCAGAGCTGATCTGTTTTTCCAAAGTTTATATTCATAAAATTCAATTAAATATTTTTTCATGTGCACAATTTTACATGCTTTACACAATATACAGTAACAGTTGATGTATTCTTATTTTTTACATTTGTACAAAGCATGTGGTAATTTAAATGGCCACTAGAAAACAACTAGTAATTAATAAGAGTATGTTTTACTGACATTTTGGCCCTTATATAATTATGCTTATCTTTCTTATCTGTCTAT